GATCTTTACCAGACCATATTCGACCAAGCCTTAAACCGGAATACACGAAGGAACCAATAAGCTAGGTCGAATTATATATTTCCCCCAAAAGGAAATCTTAAACCTCATTTAGCATTGTACAAGGTGCGTTCCAAAGTAAACAGTAAAAAAGTAACACAGTAAACTCTAGTGGCGCCATCTATATGTCGACTAGTGCGTTAGAATCTGCTATCCTTTATCTTCCAGTAAAAATTTCATGACATTTCATCTATTGGAAGTGAAGTTATTGCGGTTTAAGTGTCAGTATGTTTTTGTCATCGTTGCGAAAATGATCTTAGAACAAAGAGCCAACATTAAATTTTGTTTTAAAATTGGTAAAACTTTTACCGAAACGTTTCAATTGATGAAACAAGTTTATGGCGATGATTGCCTATCCCGTAGCAGAGTGCACGAGTGGTTTCAACGTTTTCAAAGTGGTCGTGGTGGACGAGATGAAACCCAAAAAATCGCGCCTGGAGAAGTCAAAAGTGAAGACAATGCTGATTTGTTTTTATGATTCCAAGGGTATTGTCCACAAAGAAACCTTTACCTTTTCGGAAAAATGCATTTGTTGATGAAAGGAAAGCGTTATGCAGACGTGGAGGCTATTCAAACTTTCTTTTTTACATCGAAACTAAAAAATTATACAACTCCAATTCTTTTTCGTGAATGAGAGGACTAAAGTCAACAAATAGATGCTGAATGTATAAGGAGGTAGTTTCTGTCATTTTTAAGACTTGAGACATGATAAGATTAACTCTATTTTATGTGCACGCCCTTATATTAACTTGCTATCTTAAATAAAATATTACCAGCTGAAAAGTTCGCATCGATTCTATGGAAGCGATTAGAATTGGATCCCTATATTTTGTGGTTAGACTTGGGTGACCATATTTTTTTCGGCAAAATCCGAAATCATAGATTTAGATTTTTTCCATATTATATTTCACTGAAAATCGCCTCATATAGTAGGTGAAGAGCAACAAATTTTATTCAAAAAGAATGGAAATCATAAAAGAGAAAGCAAAGTAATATTAAAATTTATTAAAAGATTCAATAACTGTCTGGTTCGATCGTTTGTATATCAGTTGATGAAATGGACAATGTTTCCGGAATTGTTGAAGACGTCTTCGGTTTGACGTATTTCTCTTGTTGATTGATTTTTCGAATATACTCGGGGTGCGATTTTAAGCGAGAGAAAAATTCTGTTAATAGTGGAATGCGTTCCACTGGTGCCGATGTTCCTAGTAATGTCAGAGCATATTCAAAGGCCTCTGAAAGCTCAACAAATGGTATGTTTTGCTTCAACAGAAAAGCATAACATTGAATCAAACGTTTGTCAACGGATGTTTGCTCTTTGCTCCATTCATCATATCTTTTGCCATCTATATACTGAGAAATATAAGTAAATTGTTCAAACAGTTTATGTGACCTTGTGTCTGATGCTTTTAAAATGTTATTTTCTGTCAGAAAAATAAACGTTTTCTCAATTTTTTCCCAGTCGAGTTTATTAGTGAGTAGTACCCAACCAAATAGTTTTACATACGCAAACTCAAGAGTTCATGCGTCAAGATATTCGTAGCAATCACCTGATTGACGTATTGAAGACAATTAAAAACAAGTAAGGAAGTTCTAAGATTGGGTGTAACCGCACATTTTATACTCTCGCAACTTGCAAGGTTCAAAGCCCGGGAAATTACTTCAGGTGTTGGCAAAATTTTATATTAAAGAAAGTATTGATCCGCTTCAACCCATTTTTGACACAAAAACATACTTTTATCGAGAGTTTCATTTATTTATTTTAAAATATGAATATCAATTATATATCTTACACATTGACCGATATTTTCGGTAAAAACTCAACCATAGGCACTCGGGTCCACATATTTAGTGCCTAAAGGCTTGAACAGTTTTAGCTCGATTTGGACAATTTTTGGTCACAAGGTGGCACACTTTAGATGCACTATTCACGCAAAGTTTTACCCCGATACAATCATTGTTGCTTGATTTATACCGTTATATGGGGAGAGGGGGGAATGCCAGCTGGTTTCACCCCATTTTCACACTGTCGATAGAGGTGCTAAAACGCTTGCTCTCAATGAATTTTATTATTATAGCTTTAGCGGTTTAGGAGATATGCACATTAAACCTATTAGGGACCGGGACCAACCCACTTAAAAAAAAGTTTTAAACTGCAGATGTCCCTTCCTAATGTAATCCTGTATACCAAATAACAGTTTTGTATCTTATTGTGGAGCTTAGTTATGGCAATTTGTTTGTTTGAAAGTTCATTTATTTTAACATTCACTCCAGATAATGGAAGAAAATAACGAATGACAGGAAACATCTTGATTGCTTTGCGATTGGAAGCGTCGATCGACAAACAAATGAATCGGGCAGTCTGTCAATCAGACTTGTGGCATACCAATGCATATGGTGTAAAAGAACATTTTTTCATCAGTCGTGTGATCTGCAAAAAAAAGTTTGAAAAAATTTGAATTGTGTGGTACGCCTTCCACCGTCGATAGATTCAAATCTGGTTTCTCTCCGATGAAAAAATCTGATACGATTGAAGTTTGAAGAGAAGCATTTTCAGCCACTTTGTCTTCAAATGATTTTCAATATCATTGCCTCCAACAGCAGCAGCTGAAAAAGTTGCATTACATTTGTCGCAACGAACGTTGGAGTCGTCATAAGCGAATCTCAAAAAATTATATTTTTTCTTCAAATTATCGTTGAAAACACTTTTTCGTGAAAGCATTTTACAAAGTAATATTTATGCTTCAAATTCACAAAAGTATCTTATGTTTCACTTTGAATGTTGAGTGAAAGTAATGAACTGTCAGTGAACAACGCCGACGTTCGCGCTAAAATCTATTACAGAATTTAAAACATTCAAACCGAATGTATAATGAAACATGTATGGAAGGTATAAGTACATTTTATACTCTCGCAAGGTAAAGTAATACACCGAATTTTCGTATATATTTTAATTAAAAGTAGGTAGATTGCATCCATCATTTACAATCACAGGCAAGAAGACGCACTAATATTAGAAATAAATTTTTTCGGAATTGCTTTAAGATTTCTAACATATCATGATTAGGTATTTGGGCTAAGGGAAGTATTGACCCATTTTTGGCTCAAGAACACACCCGAATTTCAATACTAGAATCATAGACTAACCGATATGTTCGATAAAAAATCAGCCATAAACACCGTCGTCCATATATTTGATGTATGGGTCCCTAACAGTTATAGTCCGATTTTAACAATTTATGGGCGTTAACTTAAATACTTTGAAGCACTATTTGTGTAAAGTTTTCCCCTATTAACTGCATTGATGTTTGATTTGAATACTGTAAAAATCAGATAGAATTTAAAAGTTTGTTATATGGGAAAGAGGCGTGGTTGTAATCCGATTTCGCCCATTTTCGCACTGTAACATAGAAGTATGAGAAGATAACATTCTTACCTAAATTGGTTGAAATCGGTTAAGCAAATTCCAAGATATGGGTTTTCACCTTAAAGTGGGCAGTTTCACGCCCACTGTCTATTTTTGAACGCGGTTCCTAGTCATCTCATACCATCCCAGAGATAAAATTTAATGTCTCTGGCGTGTTTAGTGCTTGATTTATTGAGTTTTAGAAACTTTTAATAGTAGTTTTTAATAGTACCGTTATATGGGGAGTGGGCGAGGTTGTCACCCGATGTCCCCTATTTTCACACTGGTTGAGGGGCTAAAAGCATTTGCTCTCAGTGGATTTTGTTATCAGCTTTAGCGGTTTAGAAGATATGCACATTAAGCCTATTAGAGGGCGGGACCACGCCCACTTAAAAAAACAATGTTTAACTGCAGATGCCCCTTACTTATGTGATCCTGTATACCAAGGAGCTTAGCTATGGAAATTTATTTGTTTTTGATTAATGGCGTTTTGTGGGCGTGGCAGTGGTCCGAATACGCCCATCTGCAAAATTAACCGCGTTATGGTACCAAGAAACATGTGTTCCAAGTTTCATAAAGATATCTCAATTTTTATTCAAGTTACAGCTTGCACAGACGGACGAACGGACAGGCAGTCACCCGGAATTCAACTCGCCTCTTCATCCCGATCATTTATATATACATAACCCTATATCTAACTCGATTAGTTTTAGGTGATACAAACAACCGTTAGCTGAACAAAATTATTATAATCTATAGCAACATGTTGCGGGAGTATAAAAATAGAACATACAAGGTGGGCCATCTACATTGTTGTATTTTTGTTCCGTTTATTGAGAAATTTTATTGTTTTTTAATTTTCAAGCCCGGGACGCTTAACTCGGAATCCGACACTGTCCCGGCCAAACCGGTACGAAGGTCAGCTAAGGTTAGACACCTTATCCTCAAAAGACATGTGTATAAATTTCACAACTGTCGAAGAATCAAGTGAAGCAAGATTTGCTATCTAACCCTTATGTTAGTAACCAACTTTACCGACGTCTTTTAACAACCGGGTACAGGGGGAGTAGTACCTGACGATCTGAGTATTATTATTAGTTTGTTTATTTTATTAAAAAACAAAACTTTTCTTCAAATATTAATAGTCAGTGACAATTTTAAGAAAAAAAATTACAACGTAGAATAAAAAAAAAATGAAATATTGAATACCCGGGTACCCAGTTACTAACATAAGGGTTAAAAAAAAAGTCCGGGACCTTTACCAGGCAAAACAAAAAAAATAATAATTTACACCCTAAAGACATGAAAAAACATGGATATGCGAAAAATTTTGTGCGCGAGAAATCACAATCGAAAGAAAAAAACACCGTGTTAAAAGGAATCATTTGTTATAGCCTAGATAGGATAATAATCATAGCAAATATATATATGAAAATTACTCAGCCAATTCAATTTGCAATCATTTTCAATACTATATTTTCTGGTTATTTAAAAGAAAATATCTTTGTAAGTATTACCGCATTTCTGCTTTCCATAGATTGCAGTGAAACAACACGCACAAAGCGGGCCAAACGACCACGTGCCCCAGAACCGGTGAACTTCGAACCGGAACCACAACAAGATTTAGAAAATGAAGAGAGCGGGAGTCAAGAGAAGGATATACCTGAAATACCGACGAATTTCCTAAGTCCTTCTGTGCGAGAGTATCTTGAATTGGGCAAGTCGATACCTGGTGAGTTTAATAGTAGTTTTATATAAATATATGTACAAATATATTATTAGACGTAGTGGTATACTATATATTATGGTTCTAAGTTACGTTCCACTTTGTGGATATTGAACCTGCTGTAATGAAAAATAAGACCATAATATAAAACAGAGCTTATGAGCTAAATTAATATTTTTTACGCCTAACACTAGATTTACTAGCTATTTAAATATACCTATTTCTACCAAAACCAGTCAAAATTACTGGTGTATAAAAAGAAATGGCTATTGTGGTTTCAAGTCTTTATTATTTCTAAAAAAAAATTACAACAAAGTTAAACAATATTATTTGTAATAGCTAAATGGATTTATAGACATTTGAAAATAATAATGCATTTAATTGTTTACAGTTTGTCGCTCATAATTTCTACATATGTAGATTACGCTTTGTGTACACTTTCCACATAGACTTTTTTTGCATTTATTACAAATATTTGTAGTCTTGTTGTTATTCCAGTATCCTATTTGACACCATTTGCGAACAGAAACCGTCATTTTGACTGGTACTGGTATAAATGTCAATAACAAAAAATTAATTTGTTACTAATATATATAAAGTAACATTAAGTTCGGAAAATTCATTCTCTATTTATAGCTACAAAGGTCATAACATCATTTCGGGAAGCAAATGTTATATGTAATAAAAAATTTTACTTTAAATTACACGAGTGTTAAAAAAAAAAAAAAGAAATAGAAAAAATAACCAGAATGTGGCCACATATTTTTCATTTATCCAAAATTAACACTAGAGAAATATTTCTGGTGTTAGAAGCTAAAGTGAAAGAAGTTTATTGAGATTTGGGTTAATAATTTATACAAGTATGCTTCAGAAACATATATGGTCTCAGAAAACAATTAATGAGAGAGTATACAAGTCTCAAATTATGTCGTACCAAATGTATCGAGTCAAAGTATAGGACATCTTTTTCTAATAAAGGTTCATGAAAACAATCAGTTTGGTACTTTTACAGTACTATAAAAAGGAGGCCTTCAGTTGCTAGTAGATAATTACCATCTATTATTTTGTGGTGAGCTCATGCTACTGTTGCTCCTGATGATAATAGCATTGTTATATTGGTGTATTTAATAATCGAATTTGAATATATTTTCTTTCTTCACATGAATTTTGTATTTTTTCATTTATTAAGTCATTATTGACGGAGCTGAAATATCCATTATTTTATTTTAATATTCAAACAAAAAAAAACCTTACCGGTTTTTTTTTTTTTGCCCACATATCTGCGATGGAGTTGTGGGTGGGTATAAGCCGTTGGTGGAGAGGGGCAGTGGCTTCTTTACGGATGCTTCAAAGCTTGATGGGGAGGTTGGTGCAGGGGTAAATTGGCAGGAACTCTCTATAAAATTTAGTTTCAGACTTCATGACTATTGTAGTGTTTTTTAAGCCGAGGTTACTGCCATTAAGGTAGCGGTAGATTTACTACTCCGGAGTGCAGCCCTTTCAGACTATCCACTCTGATAGTAGGGCGGCAATACTAGCCTTCAGTTCACTAACCGTGCGTTCAAGGCTGGTTAAGGAATGTCTAACCTCACTATCAATGTCATCGAGTCACTTTGTGATAAGACTAGTATGGGTGCGAGGCGACAGCGGAATCGCAGGTAACTGTTAAAGCTGACGAGCTGGCAAGGAAAGGCCCCTTATTCCCCATATTAGTATAATGATAACGGATCGGACCCAAAATTGTATTGGCTACAAAGCGCTTCGCCATATTATAAGATCGAAAGAAGAAGAATATAAGGAATTATTTTTTTTTATGGATTTTCAAAGGTCTACATATAATAATCCAAGTGCGATCACTGGATCAGCCATTAAACCTAACCTAACTTAGTAATTATTTTTTAGGGGATCTCTGGAAATACAAGTATGATGTCGATCAGAAAATTTGCTTTGACCACGTCCATGATCCGAGAATTGCTGGTACATTTTGGTTTTCAAATTATTTCACAACAAGAAATCAGTAGTCAAATTTGAAGGTCTAGTGCCATTTAAAGCCACCTATTTTTAACATCTTACGTCAAGTTGGATTTTTTTATATATTCCAGTCGGTCGACATTATCCTTTTGCTAAATTGCACTTCATATGGAAACAAATATAAACCATCCTCCAAAAAGCGCCGCAAACTAATTAAAAGGGCCGCAAACTAATTAAAAATGCTGGACGCGGCGTCAATACGACTCTTTCGCTCAGTTTCTTTGTCCATCTGGACGTTGATAAACTTCATGTTGATGATATCTCAACAAAATTCGGTCATGAAACGACAATTACTATAATATTCTCAGATTTAACTTTTCTACAATTAGCCAAAGGAGTTGGACTCGAAATATCTTATTTTATATTTATTAAATAATATATAATATATGTATTATCCATATGTATGAAATAGTTGTTCATTTTGATGGGGCAGTAAAAATATTTTTGATTTGTAATTAAACGGATAATAATTGAGTTATGGTTTTTTTATCGAAAATTATAATTATTTTTTTGATAAATTCTTTTCTCCGATAGTTTCTTGCATTAATTTTTGTCGTTAAAATTGTTTTTCTGAACTTGAAAATATTTCATAAATTTTGGTAAAATATTGGCATTAAAAATCAGTATTTTTAATTTTTATCCGAGATGGGGGGTAATATTCGGAAGATCGCCGCACAAATATATCAGTTAGCAGGCTAATTTTTCCATTTCTCCAAGCACGTTTGCATTTCGACTTGCCTGAGGTATTTTTCCTATATTTGTTGGAATATTATAAATGTTTTTATAGAGTTCATAAATTCCAATACAAATTTCTTTTTGCACACTAATTTACCCATTAGAGTATTTAATAAATACCAATGGTAAATATAATTGCAACCACGTGCTAAGGCTGCCAGATGAAACGAAAAACAAATTTTTTTCCGTCGACTGCAACAAATGACACTGCATATGGAATTAGTGTTGAGTTACAAAAAACTTTAAAAACATATTTACACAGATGTATACAAACAATCAAAGGCTATCTAAAGGCCAGAGGCGCTTGGCTGTCATTCACAATTCAAATAACATTTTAATTTATTTATTGATTCGATGCCAGCAGATATGCGCTTTCGCATACTAACGAACACACAGTAAGTACAGCATTGAAAAACACTAAAAAATTGATATCGACGGGAGAGCTTCAAAAAGAAAAAATTCCTCCAGCTATACATAAATGAGAATTTAGGAGAATTCTGATTTTATGACTTTTTTCCGCTCGCTTTCTGGGTACATCGAGCAGCATGTTTTGTTTCTTTCTTTCGAAAATTTGCTAGAGGGGCGGAGGCTGAACGGAAATTCAATTATTTCGTGTTAAGAACAGATATACAATGCCAACTGATAGGCAAACAACAAATGTATAAAAGTAGAAAAAAGTTGCACAAAAAATGTTGGGAGTGCACGGATTGCCTCTCAGTGGCAGGCTTTTGATTGCGTGCAACATACACATACATACAAACAAACATATGTGCCAAATTACCGAATGCAACAGGCACACTATTTTTCAATGAGTATTTTTGAAATCTATTTTCTTACCATCTCTGTGGTCAATAGTTATCTGTTGGGGTCACTCAGTTTCCGGGAGTGTGATGTGTGATAAAAAAGCAATATGGAAGCACGAAAATATTCATCTGATAAAAGAAGCTGAAAAACTCAGACGACTTTTATACGCGCGGCGTAATTGAGTGCAACTAACAGCGCCTTGTTTGTCATTGAATTTTGAGCGAACTTGCACCAACTGAAAACACCCTCATCCTCCAGACAGGAGTCACTAATTTACAGTACACAAAACACATATTTCTTTAACTTTGAATGCAACTTGGTTTTTGTGGTCGAAAATGCATTTGGAATTTCATTTCGCAGTGCAGCAACTCGAACAGAAAAAGAACTTTAGGGTGAGCAAAGTGATGGTGGTTAAATATTGAGAACTGTGTGCTACAAATATTTGTATTTATACATACCGATAGAAATCTTCAGCAGCTATATGCTAAAGAGGTCTGATCTGAACAATTTCTCCATAGATTGTAGTGTTACCTTGGATAAAAACCTATGCATATAACCTATTTCTTGAAGGTACATACCCTATTGTCATATAAAAATGTTTTCCACATAAAAAGTTACTTTTGATTTGGCTCCAGTGTTGCAATCTCGCAACTTACAACTTTATCGAAAAATTTGACATTTTTGATATTATGCAAAAAACTATTGATGCTGTGCGAAATTTGATATTGCAAGATCGTCACTTGACCTATTGTGAGATAGAAACAACTATAGACATTAATGGGGACCAGCATACATTCAATATTGCATGAACATTTGACTTAAAAAAAAAATTTGTTCACGTCCCACACAATTTGTCAATCGATTAAAAAAAAAAAGAATGAATGAAGAAATGAAAAGAAATGTTAAAAAACTACGATAGCGGTGCCATACGGGTATGAGCCCGAAAGTAAACAGCAGTCGACATGCATGATTGTTTCAAGATGAGCTGAATCCAACAAAAGTTGTTCCCGCACGACGCACTTCCAAGCAAATGTTTTCCTGTTTTTTTGGAAAAACTGGACATATCGCAACCATATCACTAGAACAATGTAGAACAGTAAATTCTGATTGATACACAACTATTTAATAGCCAGTTGTCTTTTAAGAAATCAGGAAAACCGACCGCCGACAATGCGAGCTTTCACACATCGAATGAAGCAACTGCACTTTGAAGCCATCAAAACTCCGATTTGATGAGTCATCCGCCGTATAGTCCTGACTTGGCACTGAATGACTTCTTTTTATTCCCGTATGTAAAAAATAAACTAAAAGTTCAACGTTTTTTGACACCTAAGAGGCGGTTGATACCTTCAGAACGCATGTTTTGGAGACACCTGAATCAGAGTGGCAAAAGTACTTCAACAATTGTTTCAAATGCATGCAAAAGTATATAGATCTTAATGGAGAATATTTTGAAAGCAATAAAGCGACTTTTGATGATTCAAATTTTTTGTTGTTCTCTAATTCCGAAATATAATAGGCAAAATTCGTATGATATAGAGGTCCGATATATTCGCAGATTGTAGCGGTACCAAATTTTATGAAGATTTCAAATACAAAAGTTGTTCATAATAAGGAAGGAATTCATTTTGATCGATCAGTTGGTATCGCACCTAGTATATCCTACAGTGGTCCGATATCGGAGGTTCCGACAAATGAGCAAACTATTGGAGAGAAAAAGACGTTTGTAAAATTTTATATACAGACAAATGTACAGTATATGAGCAGAGTGCTAAATAATATTGCTGGAATAAGTAAAATAATCTAACCAACAACGGATCGCGTAATTAAACTTGGGTTCAAAGAAGTTATAAAGTGGTTATAGAAATATACCAATAAAAAGAGCTTACCGAAACCCTTTTTCGGCGTCATTATTAACTTTATTATTATATATCAATTTGAAACTTCTTTACGTTTCGAAAAATTCGTTCTTGTTCTAATGTAACTAGGCTTTCGGCAGTAAACACAGTCAAACCATTTGTTCTTGTTTTAATTATCGATGCATGATTAAATCCTAACACTAAAGTGAAATTATAGCTGTCTTCGATTCGCCAAGCGTTACTCTCCAGCGAATCGAACAAACTATACCAGATCTTTAAACACACGGGCAGTACTTGTGGTGTAACCCATAAAACGTAAAAGGATAAAAAGATCTCATCGGTCAGTTTGAGTGGCTGCATAAAGCTATAGTAGCACAATTTGAACAAAGATTGTGGCGTTGCTTTAAACAATATGTGCAAATTTCATGGCTCATTTATCTTGTCAAATAAAAAAAATGCTCCAAATAAGGATTTGATTTTGATAGATCACATTGTAAAAAAGCTATGTCATAGGATTCCGAGGAGAACAAATTATTTGGAGCTCATAGCGGTGCTTTAGATAATAATATATGCCAAATTTCGTCAAGATATCTTGTCAAATAAGAAGTTTTTCATGCAAGGACTTGATGTTGGTCGCTAAGATATCGGCGGTTACGACAAATGAGCAGCTTCTTAGTGAAAAACGAGTGTGTGCAAAGATTCTGATCGGTATCTCAAAACTGAGGAAGTAGTTGGCGTATAAACAGACAGACAAACGGGCATGGCTAAATCGACTCAACTCGTCACGCTGAGTATTTATATATACATATGTAGACTTTATAGGGTCCCCTACGTTTCTTTCTGGGTGTTACAATTTTTGTGACAAGCTTAATACATCCCGTTCAGGGTATAATGCTTAATATAAGGTTCCATCGGCACTTTTGTATCCCAGAGGTCACGAAGAGAACTGTACTTTTGTACTTTATTAAATAAGTAATTTAAAAAAAAATGTTCAGTCGGGCTCATCCGGGATTTGAACCCCCAAAGCGAGAATCAGACCTCTAGACCATTGAGCCGCCTAATTTAAGCCAAATTCGATATTCTTTCATTGTTGTGTTTATTTTATTTTCAGCACGTTTTTTACCTATTTTACAAGTATATGCATTTTTCTTGATAAAAATAGTAAAATTGCTTTCTTTTTAAATTTGTTAAGTAAAAAAACAATAATGGACT